GTTTTTATTTTTGGATGGTCCAACACAATTTGTAATTTGATCGTTGTAGATTAAGATTTATAGTGGTAAATGCATTATTATTATTACTCTACAAATTAAAATCAATTAAAGTACTATGATAGGTAAATAGATTAGTTAATTATTATGATTATAATTAAACTTAATTAAAGAAAATATAAAATTGCTGTTAAAAATTAGCACGAAAAATGAATTTTTATTGTAATAGACAAAGACAAAAGCTTTTCTTTTCTTATCTAATAGAGAATTTACATCTTTGAAATGTTTAGAATGTAAAATTATTAGAGTTTAATTTATAATCTTAATTTGCTGTTTTCAAAAATTTTAAGCAAAATTGAAGATTAAAATACTACTAACTTTCTTTTTTTTTAAATGAGAGTTTTCGAAATAATTCGTTGTGATGAATTTCACTTATAATTCACGCGTATTAATTTAAAGCGTTGTGTAAGGGAAGGTCAGCCATTAATAATTACGTCTTTTTGCGGTTTTGTCGCACGGGAATCTTTTCGAAAAAGTATACGAAATATAAAAATAGAAATGTCCGAAATAAAAGTATATGGCATAGACATTTCTTTTGGTCCCAGGGGATATCTTCCGCTTCAGTAAGTCGCAGCCCTAACCCCCATTTGACTAACACTTCATTTCATCTTCATGCCTTCGGTACCTTTTTTAACACGACTTTTTTACTTCCTGTGTTGCCATACAGTATCAAATATATTGTAATGTACAAAGGATTTCTGATTAAATCTCATATAAAAAAAAAATGAACCTGATTGATCCAAAACAATGCTCTCTTTTGATGTTTAATTGGATATCGATTGATTCCTCTGGTTTGATTCGTTAAGGGGTTTGTTGATACAATGGCCTAAAGTTAGTTGACTGACTGAATTTTCTTTGGCCTTAAACAGTTGTGTTGATTCCATCATTTGTTCAATTGTCCAACTGTTTAACGTTCAATTGATTAATTAACCTTTACCGTTTATATTTTATTAATTTATACTTTAGGTATACTTCTAGGTAATACATTCTGTAGCCTATAACCTACGACGTATCATTCATTTTTTTTACGGCAACCAGAACGTCTTCGTGGCCTACTAAAAAGTAAACCAAAAAAGTCCTGCCCTAATATAAATCATAAATAATTTAACCAAATCATCGAAAATATATATTTTTTTCTTGGAAATAGTTTAAAATGACCCAGTTGTGGAAAATGTACATAAAAATATGGAGGAAAGGTGTTTTAAACAATTCCTTTTAGTAAATGCGTTTAAGACTTTTGCGAGTCTGCTAGTCATTGAAAATTGGAACTGATTATAAAAGTATAATATACGAGGGTGGATTGATAAGTTTCCGGCCTGACCAAGAAAAACAAGGTTTTTAAAAATTTTTTTTTTTTTATTTCTCAACATAATCTCCTCCAAGGCTGATACATTTCTCATAGCGGTGTTCCAGTCTATTAATGCCATCTCTATAGACTGATTCGTCAAGCTCCTCAAAATAACCATTTACAGCTTCGATTACTTCTTC